GTAATACACCCTGTTACCAGTATAAATCTCTAATGATCGATTGACACAATGCCGAAACAAGTGGACACATGTTCCATCTAAACATTTTCGTCAATTGTGGTTTCAGTGGTGTTGTTCTTCTTGCACTCTCGATTGCACAATTTCACTTACGGAATACATTGGAAGTTGCTTTTGTGCACAACCAACTAACATATATACTTGGGTGGAGCGACAAAGCAATCGACTTAAGAGGCGCGCATTCGCTTGGATCAATTAACAGTATTATTGGTCCAAACACGAATGCTACTAAATGAAAGAAACAATTTTATTTGATCGTCCACATCTCTGGATTAAGAGTTGTTTAAATGGAGAACTTATAGTATATTCTATGTGTTCAGCGTCATGCAAATCTGAAGGCTAACCTATATAAAATTCAGGTTGCCTGCTTTTAGATTATGCACAACTTGTCTAGTTTTTCTGTGTCATATAGGACGAAATTATTTGTTGAATTTGTAGGAAATGTATACTGTGGAGATTACCTTATTTATCATATTTACATATATGCAGACATCAATACCACTAGCCTGACACAGATGTTGGAGCCGGACTCCTATGTAATGAGATTCGAGTGTTTGTATACTGTTGAAGAATTTGACCTACACCCTGTTTCGCGCCACACTGACATCCGCTGTATTGACATGCCACTTATTCTGACATCAACGCGTCCAAAACGGTCCCAGAACATAGCATATAAGCACAATTCGCCGTAATCAACCGTACGCGATAGCATTGTTTATTTCATAAACCGTTGTGTATCGTTCTCCTGGACCGCCACCCACCTGGGGTTTGGTTGTAAACACCAGCCCGCAAAATCCAAGCACACGTTCGCGATTGTCCGAACGTTGAGAAACAGGGTGTACCCCTTTCTTATGGTGAAGGGACGACTTCGTCGGGTAGCGTTTCCCAGGACAAGGACAGGCGGTGGGTGAGAGCACCCCCGAACTACAGTGTCGACTGTCAAGATACGTGAACAGTGGAATCGCTGAGTTTGTGGACCACCCGCACAAATTCGGGAGTCGAGAAGATGTACCCCTAAGTAACAGGGCTGGTTCTCTGTACTTTAGGAAATCGAAATCAGGTGATCGCCAGCTTGTGCATTTCCCAGAGTGTAATAATTGAGGGAATACTAAACACAAAAGTCAAGCTAATGCTGAAGGCAAAGTCACGGTGGTGAAAGGACCATGCAAGTCTCGGTTAGTTTTTATTTCAGGGAGAAAGGCCGGTTGTGGAGTTGTTTGGAGGGGGGGGGGGGGGGGTGGGGGCGTGGGCGGGTGACAAAGTGAGGGATGGAGTTGGAGGTTCGTTGACAAGGAAGATAGTATTAGCGAAGTGGAATGGGAATATGGGCACAGGTTAGGGGGTTTGGAGGTTGGGAGAACTTAGTCCCTGCGTTATTCGAGTCAGAGACCGACCTTGAGGATCCGAGAAAGCGACGAAAACAGCACTCTGAATCAGGGATCGTTTATATACATACCCTTTCAATTCGCCAGACATACCCTATAATTTCCATAAATTCAGGGCAGCTGCCTTCAAAGTCATCGGCCAGAATCCGATTTTACACTCCAGACTCGTTTGACAATTATCAGTGAATGTTTAAAACATACTACTTCTCTCGTTAGCCAATGAACGCCGGGAAAGGCCCGCTCGTGTTTATCCGCAATATCTATTTTTGGGCAGAGCGGAAACAACACGATTGAAACTTTCGCTGAACATAGATGTAAAGTTTTGTAAGTTTATTCACATCGTTCCCGTTGTAAACTCGGCCAGAATATCTGTTAGCTTACGAGTCGCATTCAAATCTTTAAATTACTTGGAACGAGTGTAAAGCGAATTATGTGTACCTAGCTGTTCAGTACAGTATCGTGAGGAGGCCCATGAGGGCGTGTTTTTGGATGGTTTCTAGAATCTTGACACGAAGCTCTGAAAGGTTAGGATTTTGGTAGATTTTGACGATGCTGATGTGGATTGGTCGAAATCGTCCATTAGCCTTGTGTCAGGCTCGCTGACACCAGCCAAGAACGGACCCTCATACTGTTGAGCTTTGCTTGGAAATGAGAATCGTTCAACAGCCTGTGTGAGTACAGTACAAACCTCTTTCTTCCTATCACCCTGGCAGGCCTTCTTCCCACAATGGTTCCGGGCACCGCAGTTGCTCGTTAGGGTAAACCAGAATACAGCGGCGTCGGGTTCTCTCACCACCCAGAAAGTTTCTGGGTTGGATCTTGGAATGAAATTTTTGACCGTCTCGGATTTGGTGTCAGATGGATGGGACCAGATCGCGAAAGCTACAGAACACTGAAGACTTTCCACGAAATGGACCCCACAGTACAGTGTACAACAGCCAGAGTGAACTTTCACACGACAACGTTCACTGTGCATATCCAACAGAAACACGTGTGAAAATACCTGAAGCTTCACTGTGTATACATTTTAGAACCGGTCCTGCGTACTGAGTTAAGCAGCAGTTTGTAGATGGGCATGTGAGTATCTCCCATTATATTTCAAACTTACATAGCCTTGTTGTGGATCTTTTTATGCTTCCAATTTATCCATATACACTGAAACATAGAAGGTGTGTGTAGGATATACTGAGACGGGTTTGATTCAGAACTTTAACATGATACTAAATGGATGGGCAGGCGATAGAAATATATCTAAAGGTCAGAAACAAAATTCAACATACGACCACCATGATAAAAAATAATCAAAAATTGTCGTACATCAAGTCTCACTTTGTTGAGGATTTGGTGACTGCTGGCCGTGATGGGGGAGTAGTTGCTTTAGGAGTCCCGACGGCGGGATTGCTCGCTAACGAGTAAGTCGCGTCCTAAGTGACCAGCATGCGAGGTTATACTGTATTCCATACGCAGTTTCAAAGAGCGTAGTAGGCAAACACACGCAGGGTTCTAGCGGCGCGGTTTCCTGATGGAACCTGGACGAGGCGGTCACGATGCGGGCTACGCGGATGTCGCGAACGGCGACAACGTGTGCGACGTTCGCGAAGACGGTAACAACGACGATAACGACGACGATGCACTGGACGATCTTTTAGAATCGTCGTTTCAGGAGCACTGTCGCGAAAAGCTAGCAGTCGCGAAAGTCAGTCCGGCCGCCGTCAGTAACCCAACCACGTCATGTCGCGTCGCGACCAGCTTGGCTGGGCTCGAATTCCGTGAATTCCGCGACTTGCAGCCGCTGCGCGCAACGTGCGACTCGTCTGAGCTCGAGTCTCGACGTTGCGTGCTGGACACGCCAGTATATACTGCGGCTGCCAAGAGTAAAGCCAGGGAATCATTTTTTGGCTCTGGTATTGGTGGTGGTTCTACTGTCGCTGATGCTGTTGCCGTTGCTGCGCCTGGCGTTGTTGCGGCTATCGAGAATCCCATAGCAGCAGCACTAGCAAAGCATCCCGTTCTTTCTGACCCGCCGTTTCCATCTTCTCTTGACGCGCCCTCCGCGAATCTAGACCGTCCGAAGATCTCGTTCGCGTTTCCGGGATGGGCGGTCGAGATCAGCCGGGCGAAGGAATCGACGGTCGTGATGGACAGCGCGAGTGGGGGGCGGAGGGGAGAAAATAACCGACGGGGAGAGAAGCGAAAGAGGAGAAATGAACCTGGACAGGAAGGGAGAGAGGAAAAGAATCATCAGGATTTGGAGGGGGACGAGGAGAGGGAAGAGGCGGAGGAGCGAGAAGAGAGGGAGGAGAGAGAGGAAAGAGAGGAGAGGGAGAGAGTGTGGATGGGTGTGGATTTAGGGGACACGGTACCGTTCCTCTCCTTGCCTCAGGAGATCTTGACCATGCTCTGCTCGAGAGTGTCCTGGCGAGACTTATGCACACTTAAGTAAGCATCCTGAATTATCAATGACTGCACACTTAGGTAAGCCCTGGAGTATTCAAGCTTCTGCATTTACTTAAACACATGTTAACGCACACTTACCTAAGCATATGTGTTGCTTACCCTTTTCTCCACCCGCTTTGCCTTGTTACATACCCTCACACACACTTCCCCGCCCTCTCTCATCTGTCCCAGGGTTACATCTAAAACCGTACGGGATCAACTAGACAGAGATGACATTTGGGCGGCAGCAGCAGCAGAGGCGAGCAGGCAGGGCGACATCAAACTGCCCCAGGCACGCAAGACGTTTGCAGGCTTGGGGGCCGTGATAAGCGGTCAGGCGATAAGCGGCGGTCAGGCGATAAGCGGGCAGGCAATAGGCGATCAGCCGATAAGCGGGCGGGTGATAAGCGGATAGGCGATAAGCAGTCAAGCGACAGGAGGGCAGGCGACAGACGGTCAGGCGATAAGCGGGCAAGTGATAGGAGGTCTTGCAACGAGCGCTGGTGTGGGGGATGGGGAGTGCGGAGAGGAAGGTGCAGCAGGGGATGCATGGTGGCAGCAGCACCTGTTGCTACTGCAGCAACAGCAGCAGACCCGCATACCCATGTGAGTTGACCTCTGAGTATATCCATGTGTGTCCCCACAGCAACACCAGCACAACCACACACCGATTTGCATTGAATCTTGAGTTAACTTGATGATAACCTGGGCTGCTGCTGTAGCAGAAGGCCCGCATCTATCCATGTGGATTGACTTTGGTTTGGAGTCAGCTCGATATTTCTTTCTCCTGCAGCAACAGCAACAGTAAAGGTCTGCATGCCCATGTGAGTTGAATCTTAAGTTTACTTTATAATCACCTCTGCTACAGCAACAGCAGCAGACCCACATACCCATCTGAGTGTGGATTTTCTGTGCTTAGAACCCATATAAGCATTCTCGCTTGTAGCCATCTGTCCTTTCGTTGCTTCATCCCCAGCCTCATCCCCCTTACAGGCTACCCCGTTTCCTCATCCCACATCTTGTTGCATGTGCCACCTTCTACCTACTTCATGGTTTTCATCTACTCATGTTCAAGAAATCATATTCTGAGACTTCTCTAAAATCACCTTCTTTCATCCACCCATGTTTCGTCATTATCATCTTCGTTACAGGCACACTCTCTTCAAGTCTCTCGTGCTGTCCTCACGCATACGGGAGAAGCTCCCAGTGCTGTCGCCTGCTTTTGACTTTCTGCAATCCACCCTGGACAGATGGTGGGATGATGACGTGGATAGGTGGTGAAGCAATCAATGAAGGGTTTCAATCACCAGCAACCCAATTTTTCGTTATTGTTGTCTCTCTCTCTTGCAGCCACGCCCTCTTCAAGTCACTCGGTCTCTCGTCACGCGTATGGGAGAACCTCCCAGTGCCGTCAGTGCTCTCACCCGACTGATTATCTTCCCCCCTACAGCCACGCCCTCTTCAAGTCACTCATCCTCTCGTCACGCATACGGGAGAAGCTCCCAGTGCTGTCACCTGCTTCTGACTTCCTTCAAACCCAACCTTCGTTCTTATCTTCTCCCCTACCTACAGGCACACTCTTTTCAAGTCCCTCGTGCTGTCGTCCCGCATACGGGAGAAGCTTCCAGTGCTGTCACCCGCCTTCGACTTCCTGCAATTTACCCTGGACGGATGGTGGCATGATGAGAAAGATAGGTGGTGGGGGGATGAAATGGATACGTGGTGGGCTGATGAGAAGAAGCGTTTATTCACCAGAAAGTTTATTTTCCTCTATATCCTCCCCCCTACAGGCACTATCGATTCAAGTCTCTTGTCCTCTCGTCACGCATACGGGAGAAGCTACCAGTGCTGTCACCCGCCTTCGACTTCCTGCAATCTACCCTGGATAGGTGGTGGGATGATGAGAAAGGGAGCTTATTCATCAGAAACTCTTTTTTCCCTCAATTTCTCCCCTCTACAGGCACTATCTCTTCAAGTCTCTCGTCCTGTCGTCGCGCATACAAGAAAAGTTACCGGTGCTGTCACCTGCTTTTGACTTTCTGCAATCCACCCTGGACAGATGGTGGGATGATGAGATGGATAGGTGGTGGGGGGAGGAGAAGAAGAAGCAGCATGAGCAGTTGGGGGGGAAGGATCGTGTAGGGTATCATCAACAACATCACCAACAGCGGACGGTAGTGAAAGGAGCAGCTGGGAAAAGTAGGGAAGGGAGGAGGAGGAAGAGGAGGGCGCTTGGTAGTGTGAGGGAGTGTGAAGGAGAGGAGGAAAATGGGAGTGGAAGGAACAGGGGCAAAGGAAGGCTTGGTGAGAAAATGAGAGTGAGTCAGAGTGAAAGTAGGGGTTGTGTAGGGAGAGGGGGCAGGAAGAGAAGGGAGAGGCGTCCAGAATGCTGCAGGGTGTTTTTGAGAATTCTCTGCAGGAAGAGAAGGGAGAGGTGTCCAGAGTCTGCACCGCGGGAATTAGCAGCGAGGGAAGCAGCAGCAGGGGAGGCAGCAGCAGGGGAAGCAGCAGCAGAGTCACAGCCAGTAGCAGGTTGTGCAGGTGGTTCACTTGTGGCTGCAACAGCAGCAACTACAGCAGCAGCAGCAGCAGCAGCAGCAGCAGCAGCAGCAGCAGCAGCAGCAGCAGCAGCAGCAGCAGCAGCAGCAGCAGCAGCAGTGCATTTCTCAGAAACAGTAGCAGAAGAGGTGGCAGGAGAAGCAGCAGCGGCAGCAGCACCAGAAGCGAACTTAGTAGAGGCAGGGGTAGAGGCAGAGGCAGAAGCAAAGGTAGCAGGCACAGCAGCAGGAGTGCTTTTCTCACAGGAAGTAGCAGAAGAGGCAGCAGGCGAGGCAGCAGCAGCAGCAGCGTCTCTTCTGGTGGAGGCTCTACTGGCCTACCCCCTGCTGTCGCTGCTGCCCTTTGCTCCCCTGCCTGTTGCTGGTGGTGTGAAAGTAGGGGAGGAGGTGGAGGAGGGCGAGGAAAGGGAGGATTTTGAGGAGGAAGAGGTGGGAGAGGAGGAAGAAGAGGAGGAGGAAGAGGAGGAGGAGGAAGAGGAGGAAGAAGAGGAGGAAGAGGAAGAGGAGGAAGAGGAGGAGGGCGAAGAGGAAGAGGGGGAAGACACGGATGAGAGAGGGGAGGAGTCAGATGAAAGAGTGGGAGATATAGCAGCGGCACAGGAGGAGGATCAATTAGACCTTGCAACGGTGCAAGCACATGATTCCGATGCGGTGAGGCGGGCAGTGAAGAAGCTCACTAGTTTCAACTGGGCGGTGGCTTATGAGGGGCTGGCTGTGGTGTTTGGGTGCAGGGCTGATAGGATTGCGTGGGAGGTGGGGGGAGGATGGGGAGGAGAGGAACGGAGAGAGGAGGGAGAGTGGGGAGGAGAGTTGAGGGAGGAGGGGAGTGAGGAACAATATGGGGGAGTGGATGGGACAGGGATGGGAGGGATGGGTTATGTGGGAATGAACGAGGAGGGAGAGGGATGGAGAGAAGGAGAGTGTGTAGAGAGGAGAGATGAAATGAAGGAGGAGGAGGAGAAGGATGGAGAGAGGGGTGGAGAGAGGTATGAAGGTGTTCTTGACAGTGATGATGGGGCGTTGGCAGGAGGAGGAGGAGGAGGAGGAGGAGGAGGGGAGGAAAGAGGAGAAGCAGAGGGAGCAGGAAGGAATGCAGGACAAGGAGTGAGGAAGGAGGAGGAGTGGGAGGAGTGGGATAGGGAGTGGGCAATCGAGGATGCAGAGAAAGTGGGTCGAATGCTGTTGGGGGGGAAGAGGAAGCGAGGAGGAGGGGGAGAAGGGAAGGGAGTGAAGGACGAGAAGGGTGAGAGTGATGCGAGATGCACGAGGATAAAGAAAGAAGGAAAGGAAGTGAGGCAAGAAGGTATGTTTGGTTCAAATCTCCCAAGCAAAGGCCTTCAAGAGAAGGAGCCGGGGTTTGAGGCAAAAGGAGAAGGACGTGTAGAAAAAACGATTTGTACAGGAAGGCAACAGTTAGGAGCGGGCGGTATGGGTGTTCAGGGTGTAACTTCTGCTGCTGTTTCAAGGGAGGGAGGGAAACTGGGAGCAGCAGTGAGGTTGTGGCATCGCGTGCTACAACAGTGGGGGGTGTACAGGAGGTGGCTGAAGCTGGTGGCGTTGCATTGCCCCAACCTGCAGTTCGAAGTGATGATTGAACGTGCCAGGTGAGATGCGGTGAGGTGCGGTGAGGTGCGGTGGGGCAGAGCAGGAAGCAGTGAGGCTGTGGCAGAGGGTGCTGCAGCGGTGGGGGGTGTACCGCAGGTGGCTCAAGCTGGTGGCGCTGCATTGCCCCAACCTGCAGTTTGAAGTGATGATTGAACGCGCCAGGTGAGATGGGAGAGAGAGAGAGGGGTGCAGGAGTCTGTTTTTTTATCGCCTCAGAAGTGTTGCAAGTGACATTTTTCAGGTCTAATTCGGCCCTTCAAGCCATGGTGCACATTTGACACCCGAAACCCTGAACCCTGGCGAACTGTTACTGCGGAAGAAAAGTGTCCGCACGAAATCCTGATTTTCTCCAGCCAACACTTTCGCGCTGGCAAGCCTGGTTCAAAACAAAAAGTTCTGAACCTCCGCTTGTCAAATCTAGACTCTCGTTTTAAGACTAGCGGTCACCACCTGTACGCGCAGAAAGCTTGAAGCAGCAGCGCCCAAGGCAGTAGTGCCACATTTCCATTTCAATTTCGTTTTTTTTCACTTCTGTATCCATTTCTTCCTCTCCTCTACACCCGATCCCTCTGCCCCGCCTCTCTCCAGGTCGAACCATCACTCGGCCACACCAACAGTTTACGACAAAGGAGTCATCAGCTACAGGTGCCACCACTGTTGTTCGCCATACTCAGCTCCCCCTCCCCCCCTACTCCCCCTACCCCCCCCCCGTTCCGATATTCCCTCCACCTCTCTCCAGGTCGAACCATCACTCGGCCACACCGACTGTCTACGACAAGGGAGTCATCAGCTTCAGTCTACCATCGTTGTTCACCTTACTCAAACTACCCCTTTCCCCCCTACTCTTCCTCCCCCCCCTTTCCCCCGCTCCTATCCTCCCCTCCCCCGTCTCGCCAGGTCGAACCATCACTTGGCCACACCGACAGTGTACTTCAGTGACCACCGTTCACTTTACTTTAACTCCCCCTACCCCCCTTCTCTCTCCTCCCGCCCCGCAACCCTTCCATCCTTTTCTCTCCAGGTCGAACCATCACTCGGCCACACCAACAGTCTACGACAAGGGGGTGATCAGCTTCAGGTGGAACCACCGTTCACCATACTTCGACTCCCTCTACCCCCCCCCCCCCTCCCATCCTTCCCTCCACCTCTCGCCAGGTCGAACCATCACTCGGCCACACCGACAGTTTACGACAAAGGAGTCATCAGCTTCAGGTGCCACCACTGTTGTTCGCCATACTCAGCTCCCCCTCCCCCCTACTCCCCCTACCCCCCCCCCCGTTCCGATCTTCCCTCCACCTCTCTCCAGGTCGAACCATCACTCGGCCACACCAACAGTTTACGACAAAGGAGTCATCAGCTACAGGTAACGCAGTCTACGTTCATAAGTTTCTAGTAAAACAGCTTACCTTTGTTCTTCCCACTTTGAATCCGCCCATCTTATCATGTTTCCACCCATCCTATTTCCGCCCGTCCCATTTCCACCCATCCTATTTCCACCCATCCTATATCTTCCCATCTTATTCTCCTCTCCTTGAGCTCACCATTGCTACTCTCCTCCCACTTGTTTGTTCCCTTCTCACCCTCCCAGGAGCAATGTCCTTATAGCCTTTGGCCTGCGTCGCCAGTTTCAAGAGTTTCTTCTTATTCTCATCGATGCCGCTCACACTGCTTTCTTTTCCCTTCCCTCTTGTGCGTTGCCTTCCCTTCACGCCCTCCCAGGAGCAACGTTTAGCCTTTGGCCTGCGCCGCCACTTTCAAGAGCCTCTTCTTGTTCTCATCCACGCTGCCCATGCTGTTTTTTACGCCTTAACACGTGCCACTCACCTCTCTTACTCTCACCCCTCTCTTATATTCCCTTCTCACCTTCCCAGGAGCAACGTCCTTTTGGCCTTAGGCCTGTGCCGCCGCTTTCAAAAGGCACTTCTTGTCCTCATCGATGCCGCTCACACTGCTGCTTTCTCTTCCGTTCCTTCTTGTGCGTCGCCCTCCCAGGAGCAATGTCCTGTTAGCCTTTGGCCTGTGCCGCCGCTTTCAAGAGCCTCTTCTTCTTCTCATCGATGCCGCTTTCTACGCACCCCCGCATGTCACGCACCCTAAACCCTCTCTCTCTCTCTCTCTCTCTCTCTCTCTCTCTCTCTCTCTCTCTCTCTCTCTCTCTCTCTCTCTCTCTCTCTCTCTTATGTTTCCTCCTCACCCTCCCAGGAGCAACGTTCTGTTAGCCTTTGGCCTGCGCCGCCAGTTTCAAGAGTCTCTTTGTGTTCTCCTTCAACTCATTTCTTTTACTCGCGTCTCTCTCTTGTGCGTTCCCTCTCACCTTCCCAGGAGCAATGTCCTTTTAGCCTTCGGCCTGCGCCGTCAGTTTCAAGAGTCTCTCCTTGTTCTCATCGACGCCGCTCACACTGCTTTCTATGCCCCAACGCGCGCCGCTTCGGCTTCAAGTGCTGCTGCAATTGTCCCTGAGACAGCGCACCTGGTTCCACTGCTAAAGCAGATTAAGCATCTCTTTCAGGTAAGTGTGAGCTGCGTCTTTTCGGTGTGCATCACAAGCCAGATCAAACCACCTGACTTGATTCAACCCAACTTACCCCACACACACGCAGAGCAGAATGTGGCTGATGAATCGAGGTGACTTTTGAGTCGACTCAAAAGTCACCAAAGTCCACTTTTGAGTCGACTCAAAAGTCACCAAAGTCCACTTTTGAGTCGACTCAAAAGTCACCTCGTACACACACACACACGCAGAGCAGGATGTGGCTGATTATTCTACCCTCCCCCCCATCAAGCGCACTCGTGCTCCACACAAACACCCCTCAGTTCTCCATCGTGACCGGTGCCCAGCTTGTTTACTCCCGTTATTCAACCCATCTTACCCCTCACACATGCAGAGCAGGACGGGCTGGTGATGTCACACTCCTTAATTCTCCACCTTAACTTCATCTAACTCCATATGACCCCTTGTTACCCCTTGTTGACCCTTGTTACCGCTTGTTAACCCTTGTTACCCCTTGTTACCCCTTGTTACCCCTTGTTACCCCCCCCCCCCCCCCACCCCCCCCACACACACAGGAGCTGGACGTAGCTGATGATGCCACCCTCCCCCCCATCACGCACACCCAGGCCAAGTTCAGGCGCTGTTTCTGCACCCTGCTTAAGAAAGAGCTCCCACCTGGCCTTTTAACTAAGCGCCGAGCCTCTGCCATACATCCCGCTGCTGCAACTGGTGGCTTGGCTGGTGGGAATATTCCCTGTGCTGAGCGTGTGAACAGTGGGAGTAGGAGCAGCAGGTGTAGGCGGTATAAGCTGTACTTGTCGAAGCAGAGGGGATGGAAGAAGGTTGCTCAAAAATTTAAATGAGTAAGGATGGAGATTTTACGGTTGGTTGCAACGAGCACGGGTGTATTCCTGTTAAAAAATATGGTGCATGTGTGTTCAGTACGCGGGAAGTTGAATTGAAAACCAGAGTGCAAAATAAGTAACGACAAATAAATACATAAAAAGGAGCAACTCACACTAGCAAACTGGACTAAGCAAGTCATGTTCTGGAAACATCAATCATGACTAAGAAAGAGAAACAGTTTTCCTTTTAGAGAGAAGTTATTTCATATTATTCAACAAGTGTGTTGCCAGAAACCGAGGGTAACCAGGTTTAGCACTGAGAGTACGACACCAACTTTTCGCGCCGGTGATTCGCATGCTCCGAAAGTTTTCGGCCGGTTGGATAAGCCGCCCATCAGCTTGTGTTTGAGCCGTAAAGGAGTCGTTGACGATCACGGCGTCTTGGTGTTCGACGTCGTCATAACGTCGCGTAAAATCGCGCAGATCGCGCGATAATTTATTTTCCTCTCGTACCTCCACCACTGGGTCGCGTTGCGTCGCATAAACTCGCGCTCCTTTTTCACCATTTCGCCACTCTTCCCTGACCAATCCACCGAAGTTGCGAACAAAAATCTCCTCCATTCACAGCAATGCGACGCGACCCCCGACTTCACTTTCCCGCTTCATTCACCAATGTCGCCCGGCAACAGTCAGAAATGGCCGCCCCTTCTTTCTTCAAGTTTTGGTTCAGGAGTCGAAATCACTCCGATCAACCCCGCGTCCTATCTCCGCCAAACGAGGATCAATTGTACTTTCCGCGCTCCGCCCACTCTGCTCCTGTTGCATTGGTTTCCGCGCAGAACGTGAAAACAGTTCGCATTGCACACGCCGCCGCCCCTCTTGGTCGCCTCCGCCCCTCTTGGTCGCCTCCGCAAAAGCCGCCAGCCCGTGCAGCAAAGCTCCGCTTTATAACTCCAGAGACGCAGCGTGTAAAAGGCCGCTTTAGAAAACACCAGCAAACGCGTGCAAAAAAGCCGCTTCAGAAAGCCGCGTAAGCGTGCATGTCAAACCCGCACATGCTAGCCATGTCGTCCGCAGCAGCAACACCAGCGCCCGCGCCGCCATCCTCGGCACACCCCATCCCTCCCATCGCGCCTTCCATGCTTCCGAGGAGATCGAACGGCTCCTGATTCCCCCTCATGCTTCCGCTCATATTCTCCCTTGAGCCCACGAATTCCCCACCCGAGCATCGCCGTTCCGCCTCTCCCGCGCCTTCCATACACGGCTGAGGCAGCCCATCATTCCATGAGGAGAAGCCGTCAAGAGCAGCCCCTACATACACACCATTCTCGACGAGCTCGCCAGTCGGAGGGGCAAACGCAGCATTCTTCCCGCCATGCACTGCTGTTCTCCTCGCAGCCTCGGAATCGCTCTCCCCATCCTCCGCCTCCGCGTCCGCCGGAGCCTTTGCCGTCAGGCCGAACGGTAAGCCGGCAGATTGCTGCATCGCGGGCGCGTCGCCGTCCATCCAACCATCCAGAAATCCGGCGCCGCCGCCGCCGTTAGCGGGAGTGTGGGAATAGAGGTCGTAGAGATCGGGACCCTCCTGCTGGTTGGCGGAAGCGACGAATCGCTCAGATTCCCCCTCTGCGATGGCGAATTCGTTCATATTCGCGACGCGGTTACCAGCGCTGGCGAAAGCTCCGAGGGGCTCAAAGAGCGGCGGGGGGGCAGGCTGGGGCACGGCCGGGGATGACGACGCAACGCCAATGGGGAAGGCAGGAGGGGGGAGCGCGAACGGCGCGCCGCCGATCTCATCCAAGGACGAATCAGGCGAGTTGCTCTGGTACGAAGGGGGCTTGACCAGATTGACTTGATTCTTGGTGTGAATGTGGAACGGGTTACCAGAAGGGGAGCTGGGGGTAAAACCGGAAACCTCCCCAGCCGCTGTAGGGTAAAACTCCTGGGTTGGGAAGCAGGTCTCCTTGTTCCCAAGGTTAGAAGCACACGGCGCAAATTCTTCCACATTCTCTTCCTCCTCCTCCTCGTCCTCCTCGTCCTCCTCTTCCTCCTCCGCCTCCCCCGCTGGCGCCGCCGCAGCCGCCGCTAGGTGCTGCCGCTCCTGCCCCCGCTGCTGCTGCTGCTGATGAAGGGGCTGGAGCCGGGCAGACGGAATTTCCACTTCTTCCTCGGATTGGTTTGACTGCCCGGCGCGGTCCGACTGCGCAGAGCCGGCAGGCTGGTTGTCCGGAGCAGAGCCGCCGCCGGTGGTGTCGTTGAATCGCGACGTGACGGGGCGATCGGCGGGTGGGAGCTGCGGGTTCCCCAGCTGCTGCTCGATTTCCTGCATCTGCACGGACGAAAGAACAAACGCGATACAAGGAGATTCGTTAGAGTTTGTGTCATGTTTGAAGTGCGAAGTAACCACGTTCGTTACAGGAGGAGTTGGGTGAAACAGCACCATTCTTTCTGCATTCCCCATTCCGACCCTAAACTTCCTGAATCCAGCACCCACGAGCACCCACGCGCACCCACGAGCAACTCACCATGTCAAAAAGCTGCGTGTTCTGCAGCAGCAGCTCCTGGTAGTCCGATTTCAGAAGCTCGTAGTCGTCTTGCAGCTCGCGGCACGTCGCCTGAAGCTTCGTATACGCCGCTTGCATACCCTCCAGCTCCGTCTCGCGCTCCCGCGTTCGCTGCCGCACTTTGCGGTTCTGGAACCACACGCACACCTGCCGCGGCTTCACGCCGAGCCGCGCCGCCAGCTGCTTCTTGCTCGCCGGCGTCAGCTCTTGCTCCACCGCGAAATGCGCTTCCAAATGCGCCAGCTGCTCCTCCGCGAACCGCGGGCGCTTCCGCTTCATAGACTCCGCGGGTTGAGCTCCACCACCTCCGCCGCTCCATCCGCTCCCGCCGCTGCCGTAAGTACCGGCGGTGTTGACGGTCGAAGACGCGGGGAAGCGGTGGGAAGGTGCGCGGATCATCCCCGCGCTGGGGGTGCCGGGCGCCTGCAGGTGCGGGGCTCCGCCAGCCGCGGACGGGGAGCCGGGGGGGAACAGCTGCGGGGGGGGCGGAATGCTAAGCGTCGGCGGGAAGCAGCGCGGCTGAATCGCGGGGGACTGGGCGAAGACCGCGTGCGCATTCCCCGCGATCTCGATCCCGCTTGCTCCGCTTGTCTGGGAAACACTCCCTCCGCCTTTTCCTTTCCCGCGGCCTCTGCCGCCGCCTCTTCCGCCGCATTTCTTGGGTGTGTTAATCGCCGCCGCGTTCGAGGCGAGCGGAGTAGTTGGCGGAAGCAGATTAGCTTGGCGACATTGAGGGTCGTCAACTTCTGGATTCAGGCCTTCGCCAGAGTCGTCCGAAAATCCGCATGCTGGGGGCTGCAGATTCGCGAATTTCGGCGAGCTTCGCGAACCTTGGTGATTCTTCGCCGCCGAGTTGGAATTCCCACGAAATTTGGCCTTGGGCGGAAATGCGGGGCTGGTGGACGGGCCTCTTCCGCCCGGCGTCATGGGGGCGAGCTCAGCAGCGCGAAACACGGAGGGCTCCCTTGTTGTCGCCGGTATGTCCATTGGCATAAACTGAAGGGGCATAGTTGTCTCTCGCGACTCCTCTCGGCAATCTTTTCGCGTGGAGATACTTGGAAGTTAGAAGGCGAACGTCTTCAGCGGAGGTGTATCAGTGGCAGATCTTCGCAGGGGCATAGTATGATAGGGTGAATCCGCTTTGCGACGTTCCTGCTACGGCAGGAGTTCAGCCGCGATTCGAGCCAGGAAAGCCAGGTCCGCCTGGAGATGGGTTGCGCGATCCGTTGGAAATGCGTAGAAACGGAAGAGGGTAATAGCCCTTTTTCTCCTGGGGAGAAGAGGCTCCACAGGTGATCAAAGAGATTCTTTTTCGAAAAGGCAAATTTGGTCACGTGAGATGGAAGGTAGGGTGGTAGGGTGGAGGAATAGGAACAGAAAAGTGCCAATGAGGCGCGAATTCGCAGAGCACCAAGACAGTACATGAGTTGTGTGTGTAACAATCGCTCCTTATCAGCACCGCAGGAGGGGCCTGAGGTGGCTGGCTGAGGAGGCGAGGATGAATGTGCTTTGGTTGGGTGGCATGGGAGAGGTTCGGTAGAGATGTGACGCGACAAACTTGGTTAGGAAAGGAGATCGACAGGTGGCATAAGGACACTCGGCTTCGATGGGGGCGTGAGCTGGAAAGAGATGGGGATTTGACTAGAGGTGGGCTCGGGTTTGGGTTCGGTTAAAACCGGGGTGCACATTCAGCTGAATGTGCATCAAAGGTTATCCCTTGACTGAGTGGGTTACGAGGTGTGCTTTCAACCCCTTCAAGTCGAAATTCGTTTCCCCCCTCCCCCGCAATTTCGTTTCCCCACGCCCCCGCAATTTCGTTTCCCCCCTCCCCTGCAATTTCGTTTCCCCCCCCTCCCGCCAATCTGTTTCATCCCTCCCGCCATTCGGTTTCACCCACTCCCGCCATTTCACCCCCTCCCGCCACCTACGAAATGCCCGAAGCTCTAGCGGAATCATTTTTTTGTCGCCCCTCGTGAGCCAATCACTGTTTTTCTCCAAACCCCCTTCCCAACATCTCAAGCCGAACCGCGTTGAATGTGCACCCTGGTTTTAAGTCGGCCGTGGAAAACACTGGAGCATGATGGAATTTTTTTTGCACAGGGCTGGTGGTTTGGGGCATGGCTTGTGTGATGCTGTCGCTTCACCCTTCGGAATTGGCAAATGCTGCCAATGGAACAGATGTTTCGTTCTGCTGGGTGATGGAATGGGGAAGCCAACAGTGGTGAGCTGACAAGCTTGGGATGGAGTGACGTGACTGGTCGATCCAGTCAATTGGGAGTCAAACGATTATTGAACGATTGTCGGGAAGTTTGCACGATGTCATTGGGTGACGGGCACAATGGAGAAATAATCAATAGTTGTATTTTGCACTCAAAAAATGGAACTCTGATCGACTATGTACATGGATTCAACAAAATCTGCCCAGCAAGGATATTCTAAAGTGTAGTGCTCCTAAAAATGTTAGATCTTCTGGGATATTTGTTATGCTGACTGGGAAGCTGGTGTGTGCGTGTACGCAGCAAGTTTTGGGAGCCGGCGAGAATCCATTTGCAGCGACAGCCACAGGAGAGAGCCAAGGGTGGAGAGCCGCACCTGTCGCTAGCATAAACGCGTTGAGTTGGGGCGGAAGGGAAGAAGCCACAAACCCGGAACTCAAGGAAACCCGTGGAATGCGGCCGTGCTTGAGCGTGGAACGCGGAGGTTCGGCTCTCGAGAGGCCAGGAGAGCGTGACACGTGTTCCAAAACTCTTCTGATGTGTATGGAACTTTATCCCTCCGGAAACTCGGCGTCGAACAACAGAGATCCACCTGTCGTTCTATCTGCAATGAGGTGAGGGATGCCAATGAGAACATCAGCAGTCTCGTGTCACTCTTCCATGATCTGGCAAGTTCAGTACAATCGCAGTGCACATCACACATAGCTCAATCACCTTTCATTATCAAATTACTCTAGCACACTTCAATACTGCATCTAGGCAATGCTAAAAAAAATTGATATAATCTACCGTAATCTCAATGCAATAAGACTCGAGGGTAATTAGAGAGTGGCATATTTATTAATACCCCTGGACATGTTATGCCTGGAGCTGTAAGTTCGAGCTCATGATGGAAGCGACTCAGACTTTGGCGTTTTTCACTTGAGAGGCGCAGTTCCCTATAAACGGCACATCACAAGAACTACATGGTTTTGGTTTTCATATCAAAACTATACATTTATATACTGTTAGGCTACAGTGGGGCTAGCTTTAGCGGGTACACATTTCTAGGGTTTCCTACTTGTACTCCTCACTTGTTAGTTCGCATCATTCCGTTGCTTATGACTTTAATATGGTATCAGAGGATATGTTAAGTCATTCTGCTGTACCTACCGCCGTACCTGCTGTACCTACTGCCGTACCTACTACCGTACCTAGGTTTGCCCCTCGCTGCCCCACGCTGCCCCTCTCGCGCTGCCCTGTACGCGCCGTTCGCGTTACCCCGCGCGCGCCTCTTGTGCTGCCCCGCGCGCAACGCTGCCTTGCGCGCGCCCTTCGCGCTGCCCCGCGCGCCCGTTGCGCTGCCCCGCGCGCGCCCTTCGGTGCCCCGCGCGCCGCCACTGCCCGTGCACCGCGCAGTGCCATGCCCCGCCCGTTCGCGCTGCCTCGTGCGATCGCGCTTGCCTCGCACGTTCACCCTGCCGCGCACGTTCTCCCTACCCCGCCCCTTCGCGCTGCCTCGCGTGCGCCACCACCGCTGCTCGTGTGCCGTCCCTGCCCCGTGCGCCGCTGCTGCTCGCACGCCACTGCTGCCCCGTGCGCCGCCGCTGCCCCGTGCGCCACTGCTGCCTGTGCAGCCGCTGCCTCGAGCATTGCGCCGCCCCTGCCCCGTGCGCCGCCGCTGCCTGGCGCCCCTGCTGCCCGCGCACAACTGCAGCCGCCGCCATGCGCCTCTGCTACTACTGCCGCTACAGCCGCTACAGGTGCCGCTACAGCTGCCGCCGCCGCCTCTGCCGCAGCCGCCGCCGATGCTGCCGCTACAACCGTCGTCGCTGCCGCTACAACCGACGCCGCTGCCGCTACAGCTGGCGCCGCCGCCTCTGCCGCTACATCCGCCGCTACAGCTGTCATTGCCACCGCTGCCTCTATTGCTGCTGCCGCTGCTGCTACAGCTGCTGCAGCCGCCGCCTCTGCCGCAGCCGCCGCGTTGCTGCCGCTACAGCCGCTGCCGCTACAGCCACTGCCACAGCCTCTGCTGCTGCCGCCGTTGCTACTGCTACAGATTCCGCCACTACCGCTACAGCCGCCGCTGCTGCCGCTACATCCACTGCCGCTACCGCCGCAACAGCAGCTGCTGCCGCCCGTGCGCCGACCGCCGCCGCCGCTGCCTGTACGCCGTACTGCTGCCATTGCCGCCCCTGCACTGCCGCTACTGCTCCTGTGCTGCTGCCGCCTAAGCGCCACAGCGTACCATGGAGACACCCACTGTACTGATGTTTCACGCAGAGGGCCGCCCGATCGAGTATGATTCCTGGCTAGAGGATCTTCACCTATACCTGCTTGGTGTTACCAAGGACGATGTCTCGCCTTTTTAGCATACGTCAGGATCCCTTCAGGTCCCACCCACTCCGGTTGCACCTGACCGTACTGCGCCAGCGGACGTGTAGCAGCACAATAAGACTGACCGCGTAGCCCATATACAGTGGTTAGCACGTGACGCCACTGCCCAGCTTGCAGTCCGCACTCCCCTCCCGCCCGATCAAAGGCCCCACTTTCGCCAACTGAAAACCGGCAAAGCGCTCTATGACGCTGTAGTGACGCGCTACTCCTCCCCCTCTTCTACCATTCTAGGCCGTCTTGCGCTGCCATTTCTCTTCCGTGAGCTGTCTGACTTCGCCACTATAACCGACCTCATGACTCACCTGCGCTCCCTTGACACGCGCCACCGTGCTGCTCTCAAGCCATACTTTCTGGCTGAGAACCAGCCCCCCTATGTTTCTCACACTCTACTTCCTCAAGACTCGCCTCCCTGACTCTCTTTTCGCCGTTAGGCACCACTTCCTCTCCCTACATCCCACCGAGCTCACCATTGCCTCGTTTGAGTCCCGTCTCTTCGAGGATGAGACCAGAGCCTGCGCTGTAGCTGCCTCCCATGGCACTCCCCGCCCCTCCTTCTTTGAGGGTTGCTCCCCTTCCCTCCTCGCGCCTGCTGTTGCCTCTGCTACTGCTGTTGACCTCCTTGGTGCTGAGGAGGCCGGTGCTACATCTTCTCCTAGTGGGAGGAGGCGCCGCGGCAGGGGTGCGCGTACTAGGGGTGGGGGCGGTGGGGGTGGTGGAGGTGGCGGTAGTGGTGGCAGTGGCGGGGGTGGCGGAGGTGGCGGTGGCGGTGGAGGTGCTGGGGGTGGTGGAGGCAGTGGGGGTGGCGGGGGTGGTGGAGGGGGCTCGGGCGGCATTCGAGGTGGAGCTGGTGGGGGTGGAGGCCAAGGAGCTGCGTCTGGTGGTGCAGCCGGTGGAGGCGGAGGTTCTGGGGGTGGACAGCAGCAGCAGCCACGTCTGTGAAACTATAATTTCTATAGTTCGTATTTGCTAGTCTAGGTGGTGTACATTTATGTTTAGGGTTGGCTAGGGTTTGCTATAACTTGCTTGTTTCTTGTTTCCATAGTCAATTCATTTTCGTGTTCGATAGTTACCAAGTTAACAACGTCGACAGGAGACTCTCTTGCCGCAGTAGCTCCGTGAGTGGGTTGGCCAGCGAGGCGGCCCCGGAGGCGGAGGTCGCTGCCAGTACGTCCGGCGCACGGGTCCCCGAGCCGGCGACTTCTGCGGCAGGCTGGGGCACGGTGAGGCTCGCTGTTTCTACCACCTCGACGACGCCTTTCGCGCGGAGTTTGGTGAGAAGACCAAGGTTCCGGATTGGCTAGGATTGCTCAAGAAGGGCGTAGATGTGTTTGCTCTTGATTGGGACCAAATCTCTGCTGGCATGTATGATATGTATGCTGCTGGTGCTAGTGC